CCCCAAACCCCCCTAAACCCTAAAACCCTAAACCCCAAAAACACCAAAATCCCTAAATAACCCTAAACCCCTAAATAGCCCCAAAAACCCCAAAACCCCTTAATAGCCCTGAACCCCCAAATAGCCCTAAAGCCCCTAAGCAGCCCAAAAGCCCCCCAAAGGTCGCCGACACCATCGCTGCCGCGGCCTCCGAGGGCCGGCCTGCGCGGATCACCAGCCTGGCCTGTGGCCCCGCCCAGGAGACCCCCGGCGCTGGGTCCTTGTTTTGGCCTTTTTTTGTAGGGGTGTTAGGGGGCTTTAGGGTTTTAGGGCTTAGGGTATTTTGGGCATTAGGGTTTAGGGTTTTAGGGTTTAGGGTTAGGGGTTAGGGGTTCGGGGGGTTCAGGGTTTAGGCATCTTACATTTTTGTTATAACAAAAACCCTAAAGAATTATGAAAAATGATCATGTTTTTAATATGGCCCCAACAGGGAGCCAGTCAGCTCTCCAGCTCATGAGGCTTTGCAGTAGGATTTTTGGGGCTTAGGGTTTCTAGGTTTAGGGGTTTAGGGTTTAGGGGTCTTTAGGGGTTTTGCAGTAGGGCTTCTTCGGCCTTAACAGTAGGGTTTTCAGGGGTTTACAGTGGGGTTTTTAGGGGCTTTGGGGCCCGGGCTTACTGTAGGGCCTTGCAGCTCCAAGCTCACAGTGCAGGATGCTGAGGAGTTTCAGAATCGTGGCAGAATCAAACCCCGAAGACTGGATGTCAGCTTAGCCCGGGACTGCAGTTTTAGGTGTTGAGGGTATTGTCCTGCCAACAACATCCACCTGTCTTCTGCGAAGAAGCTCTTGAAGTCACTCACCCTAAACCCTAAACCTTAAAAACCCTATAATACCCTAAACCCTAGTCCCTCAAAACCCGAATCCCTTAAAAGCCCTAATACCCTAAACCTTTCTACCCTACACCTTCAAAACCCTAGTACCCTAAACCCCAAAAGAAGCCTAAAACCCTATAAGTGCCTATAAGGATCTTCGACATCTACGAGACCCTACCGGATCCGGCTCAGCTCCAGACGTCGCTCTTAGACATCGACAAGCATCTAGGACATTTTCAGGTGGTTAGTTACCGTCGGCTTGCAGAGCAGGGCTTCGGGCTTTTTGCTTCGTGTGGCCACTTGCCTCAGCTGTTTTCAGGTGGTTAGTTACCGTCATGGCAGTCTAAAAGAAGGTCTATATACCTTATAGAAGCCTTATAGAAGCCCTATATACCCTAAACTCCCCACCTGTAGTTTCCCTTAAAAGCATCTCGCTCCCGGAGTTCCTACGGCTTCCTGTTGTTTTTCCTTTTTTTTTTGGGTGGGGGGGGGGTCTCAGGATAACCGGGCCTAACAGCCGTCCCAGTCAGACGGAACTCGCACCGGCGGGTTTCCGCCTAGCGGAACAAGAACCGCACGGCTCTGGCAGACTGGGCGCGGAAATAAACTTGCCGGAGGACTGGCTACACATGCGCTCGGCAGCATAAAGCGCACATTATAATAAGGCGATATATCGTCCGGTCAGCAAGGCGAGGGCTGCGTCGTCCATGTTCAAGCTGCCTCCAAGCCTGATTGCACAAACCCATGCGGATGGGGTTCGGTTCCTCGCTTCAAAATTCCCTGCAAGAGGCTCCCCCCGGAGGTGGCTCCAGGCATCTCTTCCTCTGTCGTGGGCGGGGACATCTGTGTCGCCCACATACCATGGACTTGGACCTGGAACGATCGTGGCAGGAAGCCACGACTTGGGCTCTGAGCGAAAGCCAGACTGAATGGCCACATGGCGACACATCGGATGTGAACGGTACTCGCACCTTTTCCCGAACGTTGCCTGGGGGGCCAGGGCCCTCACCTGATGTACCTTGCGCATGTGCGACCGGCAGGCCGCACTTGTGGCAAACGTAAGTCCACGACATCCTCACGAGTGGACTCCATGCTTGTTTAGCTCTGCAAGCCGAAGGTGAACACCTTGTCCAGGGCCCGTTGCTGGCCTCGCCAGCAGGTCGGGCGAATCAGCACCCTGAAGTGCTTGTCTCAGTGTGGCATAGAAAGCTTGCCTTCCATCCAGGAAGAGCACCACGCCCGTGTGGCTGGCGCTTTTAAGTCGCCTGGCGAAACCACGAATGAGCGCCATTGCCCATTAAAGTGGTTCTGGGGGCTCTGCCGCCCTGGCCCGGCTGGTACCCATGCATGAGAGCTGGACGGATAGCGTTGCCCACTTCTTTGGCTGCCGTCTCCATCAGGAGGACACTTCCAGCCGTCAACTGAGAAAGGTCCGACTCGCCAGTCTCAACTGTCGGCATTGTTTCCATCCGCACGACAGGAAGCTGGCAGGTCGCTGCCGTCGCATAGGCTCCAGTGTGTCCTAGCTGAACGCTGCCAGATGAAACGAGGTGACGCACAACCCCTCATCATCGGCCGATGGGTCTGCCCAGAGAACTTCTGGAACTCCATCACCTCGAGCATCCCAATGCTCGAAGACCTTTGCACACTCTACGCATGGCAGATCCTGAGCAGACACCTCAGCACCTCAGCTTGGAGGCAGAGGGCCATCACAGGAGCCATCCATCGATTCACAAGAATGTACACGTTGAGGGGTTTCCTTGTTATAAATGTAGTACGATGGGCCCCAAAGCCTTGTTCTAATTATTAAGACCCTTGCAAATTGATCCCTCATAGAGCCTTTTAAGGACCCCTAAGGCTTGGAATGAAACAGATGAGCCAAGTAGGCCCTAAACCCTACACCCTTCTACAGATCCCTTCTAGACCCCCTTTAAGGCGCCTTGGGCGGTCTTCGGAAAACCCGGCATAGACCCATTTTCTATAACTTATATCACTTGCAAGGACCCCTAGAGCTACCCAGAGACTCCATAACCCCTTAACTAAGGAATAGACCTCAAATCATAATGGGAACCCTAATAAGGTTTAAGGTCTATTCCTTAATTAAGGGGTTTTGGAGTCTCTGGGTAGAAGTAATCTTGTAGGGTTCCCGCAAGGCGAAGGGTTCCCTTAAGGGTTCCTTTCAGGCTTCCCTCAGAGAAGGGATCTCATTGGGTTCGAATGGGACCCAGGCAAGCCCTGGAGCTGATCGCCGCCTCGGCGGAGGAGCGCCACCTCACGGAACACCTCCGGCTTCGCAAGGACTGGAAGTGTGTTTTTTTTGGTGTTGTTGTTTTTGTTTTGTCCTGGGGTTTGGGGTTTTTTTCGGTTTGGGGTTTTTGGAGGGTTTGGGGTTGGGGGTTTCCAGGGCTAGGGATTCAGGGTTTGGGGGAGTTCTTGGGTCGAGGGTTTGGGGTTCCTTTCAGTGTTGTATCAGAGCTCCTGAAAAAAGGTACGTTGTGTCTTTGCTGTTGGATTTGGGCAGTTTTCTAGATTAAGGTTTTTGTGTAGGAATTCAAAAGAAGGCGGCACCCTTGCAAAACGGTCCCGAGGGGGGACCCCAATTTTGAGAGCTACCCATTTGGTTCCTTCAACTTTTAAAGCAGAGGGGGGGGGGGGCGAAAAGGGTTGGGTTGGGTTTTTTGGGGTGCGTGCGCAAGGTTTTCGGATTTACCAGTGCCTGGCGGCTTTCAGGGGCTGTTCGGTTTGTTTGTAGGTTCGGGCTTCAGGGTCTTCACACCTAAACTCCTACACTCTTAACAAGGCCCTGAACCCCAGGAAGCACAGCACCGGCCATCCATTTGTGCCCAACTCTTTAGTCAGCTGCGTGAGGGTTCTTGCAACTTAGGATTTGAAGGTTTTAGGTTTTAGGGCCATGGGTGTTTAGGGTTCAGGGTTGGGGGTTAAGCTTCTATTCGACCGTGGACCGCTTGCCGCCCGAAGAGAGGCCACAGCTCTCCTTCCCACACCCGTTTCCAGAAGCCCTGGTAGAACCCTAAAGCGCTCAATCCTGAAATGCCCCCTAAAGCCCTCCATAGAGCCTGTTCACCCGGTAACCCCCTAAAGCCCTATAAACCCTAAACTTCCTAAGCCATACGTAGGCTCATAAAGCTGTAGTATAGGAGCCTTAGTGATTAGAATAGGGTGTTGGGGCCCATTATGCTATAATTCTATTAAGGAACCCCCCAAAAAGAGTAAAGCTAGCTATTTAGGCCCCTATTTTAACCCCTCCAGGGTTTTCCGTGGACTTCGGTGTCAGAGGCCAATTTGATCCACCTTGCCCTCGGCCGTCGCAGCGTGGACGTCCAAGAGCAGGATGCCAGGGGGGGCCTCAACAACTACCGATACTATCCTGGAATATCTTGGGGTTTAGGGTTTAGAGCCTCAATAGTTGCCCCCTGCCATGTTGTGGCTTACGGGGCTGCGTTCTCTGTCTTGTGGCTTCTGGGGGCTGCGTTCTGACGAGTTTGCAGGGCTTGCTGGAGTTTTGGGGTTCCTGGTTATGGTTATGGGTCTGTAGCGTTGCTGAAGGTACCTTGGGCTCTAGGGCTACATTGCTGCAGGATTGTATGATTTATGGGATTGCTTATAATACGGGCCTTAACAATTACCAATACTATTCTGGGCGTCCCTTCTGATAACTCTAGCATAATATACCCCGAAGCCCTACTCTAATTCCAATTATAAAGGCCCCTATATTAAGCCCTTTTAAATACCCCTTTATAGTAACCCTTTTAACGGAACCCTTACAAAAAACCGTATTCCGATTATTGAGGCCCTATACTAGGGTTCTAAGGTTTCGGGCTCTTGGCCTAAGCCAAGCGGGAGTTTAGCGCTTCGACAGGTCGCCGGGTCCGAGAAGTTTGGTCTCAACAGATCGCCTTCGGTTTAGGGTTCAGGGTTTAGGGTTGAGGGTATCTGTATCTATATCTATATCCAGCAGGGTTTGAGTCCGCGGCGCGTCAGTGTTTACAGTTTCAGGTTTCAGGTGTTCGGACTGATTCCAGGACCTGGTCTATACAATTGGCCTCATCGACTACTTCGACGACGAAGCTTGGTCGAACCTCGAGATTTGGTTGCTGTGCCCAGAGCTCCCATGTTGTACTTTCAGTTGGCAGTGTCCCTTTCTGCTACAAGGAAGGCCCGATCTCAAGAACCCTAGCATCCCACTAGGATCCGGACCTTTCTTTTCCTTTCACTACGGTGCAAAAGCGTGTGCGTTCCTTGTGTGAAGGCGACGCCTAAGCCCGGACACCCCCACTCGCAACGCGCGCTATATGATTAGGTATACTGACAGAATTCATGGTAGTAGTTCCTAGAATTGTTAGGTGTATGTCTGTACATACACATACATATATATATATACATACACACACACCCCCTCCTTCCTACTGTTAAGTACCATATATTGTTCAAGTACTCAAGGCCAATGGATCTTCAGTCCGCATAGATCCCCACGGCACAACCCACAGGACATGGTTGTAAAGCTCCTCTCCTTGGCGTACGACATGCTTCGGCCGGGAGGGCGAGTCATTGTGGGAAACTTCCACACAAGCAATCCGGACAAGGTGGGAAACTTCCGGCAGCTTCGGGATGAGGTTCTCCTTATTCGGTCCTGAGCCCAAGTGATGTCGCTCTATAGGAATATTCTCATGATGACTCGCAAGCGAATCCATACAGTCCACACCATCCTGTACCAGTGTATAGTACCTACGTTGGGCCGACAGTGGCCATGTCGGAACACCTTTGAAGCCAGAGCATGCTTGCATGCTACGCATAGATATCTTGGGATTTTAAAGGGTCAGAAGCATCGTAAACGGCGCCCTGGTTGAAGAAGTACTGGAGCGCCGAAGTGTTTGGTGCACGTTGCTCTGTAGTTTTCTGCAAGCTTCACTTTCTAGCCTCGTGAGGTCACAGGCGTCGTCATCCAACAAAACTGCGCCAAAGCTGTGGAACTGTGTCATGTCGGCTGCAGGCCTTTATGGACTATATGATGGAATGGCCGCTGGTGCATCGCGATGAGGCCAAGATGCATGCCCTTTTTAAAGCCTCGAAGTTCGGGAAGCCATGCGACCAGATTCAGTTCGAGGCAGCTGGCGTGAACCTCTTCGCCGAATGCTCCAGGAGCTAAGCCCCGTTGCCGCATGCCCCTTTTTTGCGAGCCTTGCCCTCGCTGCCCAGTTATGATGTGACCTGCTGCCGGGTCCCATGAGCCAGCAGGAGGCAGAAGGATCATTTCTAAATATACTATGTTATATACTATCTTGCAGCAATTACGGTGTATTGTTGTATAATCCTGGTTCCTGGGAAAACTGGACAAACTCAGTGCTTGCTACGTCGCTTGGGCGTACTGCAAGCCGCTGTATTTGACTGCCCCCCGTCCATTTTCCGTCTCAGGGGTCGGGCATGGGCCCTCAACGCAAGAAAGTACTATAGGGGCCTTAATAATTAGAATAGGGTTTTGGGGAAGTGCAATTACGAGATCGGCTACATGCGTGAATTTGTCGCGCATGTAGCCGATCTCGTAATTGCACTTCGGGCACCTATATTACAGGTGTCCCTTGGTTATTTAATTGATGTGACCTTCCATTAAGTTGGAAGCTGCCTGTCTTCCTGCCTTGAAAGCAATCTAGAAGGAATACCATCCCTGCATTCATCCCTTTCCAGTTTCCAGCTTATGGGGGTGTTTTACATGTTAATGTTCCAAGTACATGTCGGCATGAGCCGACATGCTCGCAAGTCCCGTTTATGCGTCACCTCGTGCTCTTCTCGAGCGTACCCTAGAAATCATGTTGTGCAGTATGCAGCTGTGTAGCTACTCAACCTCAGGGCGAGCACACAAATGAGTGGACGGTAAACGACTTGAATGGCTCGTTGCTTTGGAACGGCGACAGGCGTCGCCAGCCAGACGCAACGAAAGCTTGTGCTTGCTGTGCACCTGGATCGATTGTGGCTGTCAGAAAATACACATACAGGCCAAGTATCATCACGTGGGAAAGTATACTTACATGCACATGGCGTTGCCGAAAACTTCTCTTGCGGTTTGTCATGCCATTCATGCGGGTGCCAGCGCACTGCCAGTAAGAGTAGTGTAAACAGACCACCGATTGCTGGTTCTAGCTTCAAGGGTTTCGTTTTGGGTCTAGGATACCAGCTCAACATGACATAAAGGTCGAAAAAATTAGGAGTGCTATTTCTTGAGGTTCCTTGCATAGTATAGTCATATTAAGCCATGCCCCAAAACCCTGTTAGCATTGTTCAGGCTGTTATGTCGCGCATCAAGTTGTCAACTCGGATCACCCTTATGCAGGCTGCCGAGCTACCCTGAAACTGTCAACTCCAATCACCTCCCTCAACCCCTAAACTTTTAAACCTAGGTGAAGAAGATGCAACAGCGAGGGCAGCTGGATGCGAACGTGGAAGATCCGCCAGGGGCCCTGAGTTTGGGATTCGCTTTGGGACTCCTTAAAAGTTAAGGCCTTAAGCGCCCTATAAGCACTCTGCAAGGCATGTATAAACCTTTCATGTAACGAGATGTGAGGTGTATAAACAGAGCTGATTAGGGATTGTGATGCGTTCGTTGTCGGGGGGTCCGTTTGGGGGAACTGGTAGGATCTGGGAATTGGGTTGAGTGTTCAAGGAGTTTGGGGCCTAGGGTTTGAGTAGGAGATACTTCGTAGCTGCGTAAGTAACCTTTAGCTTTTTTGGGGCTCATATATCCCTACCATTATTGAAAGGTTAACNNTTTTTGGGCCAGGATACTCAGCCCCCTAAGGATATACAGGCAGGAGGGAAGCCACCAGCAACTCCGAACCCCGAACACCTTGAACAACGCTCCTGGCTCCTAGAGCCTAGTTCAGGTTCTGGAAAGAAGCTGGAGGTTTAGGGGTTAAGGGTTTAGGGCCTTAGAGTTCAGGGTTTGGGGGTTTAGAGGTTTCGGGTTCAGTGGTTTAAGGCTTTGGAG